GGATGGATGGACGGATGGATGGATGGATGGATGGATGGATGGATGGATGGATGGATGGATGGATGGATGGATGGATGGATGGATGGATGGATGGATGTTTGGTTGGATGGATTGATGGTTGGTTTATTGGATGTTTGGTCAGATAGTTGGGTGAATGAATAGTTGGTATATTGGAAGAATGGATGGTTGGTTTATTGGTTGGTTTATTGGATGCTTAGTTGAATGGTTGAATGGATAGAGGGCTGATTTATTGGATGTTTGGTTGGATGGACGGTTGGTTTATTGGTTGGATGGTTGGTTTATTGGATGTTTGGTTGGATGGACGATTGGTTTTTTGGTTGGTTTATTGGATGTTTGGTTGAATGGTTAGATGGATGTATGGTTGGTTTATTGGATGTTTGGTTGGATGGTTGGTTTATTGAATGTTTGGTTGGATGGTTGAATGGATAGAGGGCTGATTTATTGGATGTTTGGTTGGATGGATGGTTGGATGTCCGCTGTAACGCACCGATTTGAGGATGGACACGGCCTCCTTGCTGAGCCAAACGGGATAGAGGACGTCGTCATGGAGAATTGACTCAAACAGGTCGTCTTCGTTGTCAGCCTCGAACGGCGGCTGGCCGGCCATCATCTCGTACATCAGAACCCCCAGGGCCCACCAGTCCACAGAGGCTCCGTACTCGAGTTCCTGGAGGATCTGAAACCAGCAGAACCAGCAGAACCACACAGATCAGCATGACAGACAAACACCCGGGGCATAAACCTGTAATCCTTTTTACCTACATTTTATTTAATTAGCTGTTTATCATTTTCTTCCATGATAGCTTCTTTTGATCAGATCTGAAAGGTGAATGTTAATACTGCTGATTACATTTTTCTTTAATCAAAAGAGTTTCATAAAAACAAAACTGAACAAAAAATAACTTCCCTAATAACTTAGTTCATCCAACTACTTATTTGAATATTTTAACGTCAGTTTGCAAATCATTCAGTCATGCCCAGCCTGACTGCACTGACGCACAGGGGGGGGCTCCTATCTCTTCTCAAAGTGAAAATTATAGTTTCTTGAGAATTAAATTTCAAAAATATTAAAATTAAATTACAATAATACAATACTATTAATATTAGTAATTTTCAAGACATGGTAGAAACCCATAGAGGACTATTTTTCTTTCTTGGCTTTTTTATTTTCCATAATTTGTTGTTTAAGTCTGAGTCTGTAGCTAAGCTAACTTTAGCTCACCTCAGGAGCAATGTAGTCAGGTGTGCCGCAGAAGGTGGTGGTGGTCACCCCGTTCATGATGCCCTCCTTGCACATACCGAAGTCTGCCAGCTTGCAGTGTCCCTCTGCATCTAGCAGGATGTTATCCAACTTCAGGTCCCTGTGAGAGCAGGATGCAGACAGAGGGGGAGAGTCAGAGCCATCTGCTTCCTCCAAAGGTTGGGATCAGGCTGGGAAGTCATTGTGTGAACTCATGTTTTTCAAAGAGACGGCCACCAGGGGGTGTATGAGGCACCTCAGAAAGTTGGAGAGAAGATGTGAAAAAAAAAATCATAAAATCTAACCTGTTTTTCAATTATTACTATAAAATAAGAGTTAATAAATTGTTGAAATGTTATTTGCCATGTTCATCTTTGCAACTTATCAAGCTGTTTTGCTCCTCAAGCAAAAAACTCAAAGAACTCATGGCTAACTGAAATCAGATGGAGAAATGCAGCATTTAGGAATGCTAAACAAATGTAATTATCATTGAAAAGTGAATAAAAATGAGAAAGAAACATTCTAAAAGTCAATATTTCTTTGCAGCACTGTCTGTGGGTTTGTAATGGTTCCCAGGCTGAAGGGAATGATGTGTGTAGGGGTGTCCAGATGTAACTTTTTCACTTCTGATACGATACAGATATTACAGCTTTGAGTAATATATATATATATATATATATATATATATATATATATATATATATATATATATACTTTCCTTAGTGTGGAATGGTAAAAAAAAAGCTTGATCAAGTTATATTACTCAAACAGAGAACAATAGAGAACAACACACATGAGAACAACCGACCAGGTCCTTATAGAAATGCTGGGGGAAACTAAGCACTTCTAACAATGAGCTCACATCGGCAATTTTAGACACAGGTTGAAATCGTTTTTTGGGTGATTTTGGACTGATTTTTGCCATGAATATTGGATCGGGACAATCCTAGCGATTTTGGAAAAGTTTGGGAAGCCCTGGTGTAACGTTATTATCAGAACTATTTAGTGGGAATGTCTGGTGGAAGAAGTTTTTAAACTCCGTTTCACTCAAAATTATAAAAGTTTAAATGAAATTGATCAATCTCTTAGCCTCATGGTGCAGGCTAGGGGTATTTACCGGTAGATGACTCCATTCCTATGTAAAAACATTAGAGCAGACGTGACTTCGGCAGCGTAGAAACGCGAGCGAGGCTCATCGAACTTCCTGGATCTCTGAATCTGGAACATCAGGTCTCCTCCGTTCACATACTCCATCACAAAGAATAAACGATCCTGCACACAACAGAGACGTAAGAGGACGAGACAAAGACAAGCAGGTGAGTCCTGAAAGCTTCGAGGCTTTCGTTGCGCTCCTACCCGCGTCTGGAAGCAGCAGTAGAGCTGGGTGAGGTAGGGGTGGCGGCGGGCGAGGGCCAGGATGCGCTTTTCTGTCATGGTGCAGTCTACGTCGTCGTCCTGAAGGATCACATCTTTCTTCAAAACTTTGACGGCATAAACCTCGTCTGCCCCCTTCAGCTCCGCCAACATCACCTGGTTACAGCATTAAAAAAAGAAAAAAATCATAACTCTGTTCAAGAGTTAAAGTTGTTACTTCAAATCTTTCAAACAGAGGATCAAATCTACAGCTAGAACTCAACCTGACTGAAATACGCGGCGGAAAGTAAAGACAGCTGAGCAGAAACAAACGCCTGGAAACCTCCATGAACCAAAGCAAAGCTGCAAGGACGATCCACTAAAAATGACGTGAGAAACCGATAAAGACATAAGGAAAACAACTTAGATTTATTGCTGCAGAAGGAGACGGTACATTCATGGGGTGTACTTAGTTTTACCATTACTGGACGCTTTTTCAGCTTTGGTAAATGTAATTTTAGAATTACTTGGATTTTGGACTGGTTCTGGTCTTCAGATGCTTACACTGCAAAAACATATAAGCTAAAATCTTAATCTTAAATCTAAGTATTTTAGTGCAAATACATTAGCGCATTTGAAATAAGACAAAACTAATGTATAAGTAACTTTCAGCAAGATATAGTTGATTGTTTACAGTAGATAATCCCTGAATATTGATTAAAAAAAAAGTTCTATTATTGGCAGATTATTTCACTTACAGCAAGACATTTTCCCCATATTTTAAATTAAATAATCTGCCAGTGGAAAAAGTATTTTTTAAAATCAATATTAAGAAATAATTTACTTAAAACAAGTTCTTATGTCTTGCTGAAAAGTTACTTGTAAGTTAGTTTTGTTTTATTTCCAGTGTACTAAGATATTAACACTAGAAACTAGACGAAAAATATTTAATGTATTTGGATTGTAAAATAAAAATGATTTTGCTGTTATGACATAACCTCAAAATACAATATCTGCATGTTGAGCAGAAAACACAATGAGCTGAAACCCAAATTTTGGCGGATTAGTTATCACAAGCATCTTACAATGCAGCACAGAGCAGAGCTGAAAGGACACCTGCAGGAAATACTCAGCTGCTGTGCTATCAATTAAAAAAAACTGTTTTATTAGAAGCATAATGAGCAGTATACAAACAAACATCCCCCTCAAACACCTCCACGCTGCCGCACCTTGCCAAAGCTGCCTTTGCCGAGGACTTTGATAAAGTTAAAGTCCTCCAGAGTCCTCCTCTGGGTCTGTCCGTTCTCCCTGGCCGCCGTGAAGGAAGTCGAGGAGGAGGAGTTAGTGGGGGAGGAAGATGTGAGTTGGGGTCTCTGCTCGTCGAGCGACAGCGATTGCTGCAGGCGCGTTAGCTCTGCCAAGTCTGTGGGTGTCATCAGAAAAGCTGATCAGAGGAAAGAAAAAAAAAAAAAAAAACACCCTGCCTTCCTTCCTCCTTTTTTGTTAAAAAACTTTTGTTTGTAAACTTCTGATTTTGAAGACATCAACAAATAAATCTCTTACATATTCTTTCTCATTGTTGTGGCATTTAGCACACATAAATAATTTTGGTTATTCCGACTGACCTAAAACAAGAGAATCTTGTTCTGATTAACTTCAGACAGAGAGGGGAAAAAGGTCAATGTTATTAGTCAGTGTATATAAACTTCTGACTCTGGTTTAAATGGTGCACATCCCTCTAAACCCACACTTTCCTCAAGTAATGACAATATAAAATATATATTTTTATAATTATTATTATTATTATTATACTGGAGAAAACTATTAGCTTTGTGGCTCATAAACAAAGAAAAAAAAGAAGCAGGACTACTTCCACAAAGAGAAAGTTAACTTTCCACTTCTCAGCTTGCAAAGTGTGATAATGACTAACTGTGACAACCAAATGGCTGTGGGCGGTGCGGGATAATTCACGTCTAGTCTCTGTATGTTCCTAAACACCTCTCTGTACTTATTTCTCAACATGAGCCACAATATTGTTGCTGGAATCAAATGAAAACCTCTAACTGGTTTATTAGCAAGTTAAAAACTGTGTCCTGTTACAGCAGCTCATTCTAGAAAGGTTTCAATGAGCCCAAAGCTCGTTTTTCCTCAACATTTTGTGCGTGCGCAGCAGAGTGTTACCTTGCTCTGAGGGGGAGGTGGGGACAGCTGGCTGGCTGAAGCTGTTGTCCTCCGTCTGAGAGAGCTCAGGCGGAGATTGGGGAGCGTCCTGCCCTGAGGTCAACTGGGAACACGAAGAGACGGCAAAATCACTCCTTCTGGCAGGGGTGTAACTTTGTGCTGCAAGTTGGTGAGGACACTTTGTGGGGACGGCACTCATGCACCCACAGCTATGGAAAGGCTTTTTTGTGCTAAGAATAAGGCCAAAGCTTAAATGTGAATGCCATACAGTCATATTTAATAAATTAGGATATACGTCCTAATGGAGGCTTGTCAGATTAAAAGTGATTTTTGATAATAACCTTTTAGCAGGTATTAAACATCCGTCATCTAACGTCTTTCACTTGGTGGAGGAATTACAAAAAAATGATATTTTCCTTCATATTCTATTTTATGGAATTATATATATATATATATATATATATATCTCCCATTGAAATATGTTATCACAATGATATATTTTCCTTTTATTACCTGATTTTATATTTAAAACCACCAGCAACATTAGAATCTGTAACCATTAAAATGTTATTAAAGAATTTTAAATAAACTGGATAAACAGCTTCTGTGTAGGCCAAATTAATCCTCGTCAGTGCAAACTTTGTATTTTTCATTTGTGATTCTGACTGCACAGCTGTCCCTCAACTTGCCGGCATAAAATAAGACTTTATTGATCCCCTATGGGGGGGAATTTTGTTTGTCCCAGCCTAGCACACAATAACAACTTAAAGTAAATAACTTACTCAGCCTTTCTTATCAGATTGTTAAAGTTGTTGTACTTCTGAACTACACATAGCAGATGAGATATGATGCGTCTTTAATATAGCAAACATATTTCTTTACTGTAAAATAATACAATAAGACAGGTTTTACTTCATTTTCATGTCTATTTCTGCCTCACCTGTAATTCTGCAGCTGGCCCTGCGTCTATACTGTCCTGAAAAGCACATAACGTTTTCTAATGTCAGTGATGCTAGTGGAACCTGTCACAAAAAATGGAGGTAGCAACATTATCTCTTATCCAACTTCTATAAAATGTGGCTTAAATTAAAGCTAAAAAAAAAGTGCTGATGTTGGTAAAATGTGTATTTTCTCTGGATACAAATATCCAGCTTCTGTCAGTTCTGTCAAGGTACAAGAGAAGGACTAAGTAAATTTCTCTGTTGTATTGGCCAATAATTTAATTTAATTGCCACTCAAGGAGGCATGGTTTAAACTGGATCAAACTTCGGCTTATGCTTTCTGAAATATGTCATCCTACTTGATGATTGCTTTGAATATCACCACATTCTACGAACAAACGATGCAATTAGATCCATTCTTCTTCTTTTTTCCTCAGTCGTCAGCTGAACATCACACGCGGACCCGTTGCCGTGGCGACCAACAGACAACAGCTCCACGAGTCCACAGAGCAGAGATTAAGTTCAAGTGTGTCAAGAATTAACATTAAAACACACACACACACACACACACACACACACACACACACACACACACAAAATAAGAACTCCAAAGCAGAATATTCAGTCCATTGCTGTTTTATGTTTTTTTAATTTTCAGGTTTAACGTTAATTTGGCGATCATTAAGAAGTGATCGGTAGTTTATTAGCTAACTTAAACTCCTGTTTTCTGTCAGAAAATGTGTGTGGGTCGTCTTATTTTGTATTAAGTGAACCGAAACACACCAATCTGCGCAGCACAGGTACATATTAAGGTTGTCAAAGCCAAGCGGTAGCATAGTACTTCGTTACTGTACTTAAGTAAAATTTTCGTGTATCTGTACTTTACTTAAGTAGATTTAATAATGGATACGTTCTACTTNTTTTTTCCCGGGTTTTGGAAAATATGCTTCACAAAATAGTTTTTAGGGAACCCCCCCCCCCCCCCCCCACAAAAAACTCTGTTCATATCTATAAGAGCTGCAATTATTTTGTTTATTGTTGGCAGCATTGTACAATTTGCACTTAGCCTTTAGTCATCAAAATGTATTGATGGAAAATTATTGAGGTTTCAAACTCAAAGGTCTACAGAAGAATGTCAGAATAATCCCTTTGCCGACAAAAGAGCCTCCATTTTCAGCCACAAACAACATTGTAAAAAAATTCTTTAGCCTTTCAACTTAAGCAGAAATATTTGCAGAAAAAAGACAAAATATTTTTTCTTGTTAAACGGTGTCACGACAATCAGTTACTGGAACTTTAAATGTCTCTCTCCTACTGTCTATCCACAATTTTTTCCATCTAATCTTTAGAGTATAAATTGGAAGAAGATTACAAATCAGCTTTTAAATCAGATGGTTAAATCTGCAATCTGGTAACCATGCAACACTGAAGTTGCGTGGTAACATTCACAGTACTTCCGTATTGAAGTGGAATTATTTCCTCGGATTATTGTGTATGCACGACAAGTCTCTGAGCTCTGGACCTGAGCCTAAAAAAAGTCTGGCAGATAGCAATACCATAATCGTGTCTAGAAAAAACCTATATATATAAAAAATAATGCTGCAGCAACAACCTGGTGGACGTTTTCACACCTAGTGGTTTTCTTGAAGCACCTTTTTCAGGAGTCTGATATCTTGCATTTAAAATTGACAATATTTTTTTCTGCTTTGCAAGAGTTTTTCCAAACCGGTCAGGCTTCGAGGAAATATCTCTGGTTAAAAATATATATATCCTAATCCCCACCTATCCAAAAGAATTAGTCTGATTTACTGTCAGAGTGAGGGAAAATTGTTTTGTCTCTTTTTATACAGTGAAGGTAAACATTGGGATTAAACTGTGAGTTTTGGAAGCACATTCAAAATGGTTTTACTGATTAAATAATCAATAGCATTTTTATCACATATATATTAAACTTTGTAATTTTGATGTTGGCGAAACTGTCTTGTTTCTGCCTTGTTTTTTTTTTTTTTTTTTTTTTTTTTTTTTTGCAGTGATTTAGTTAACGGCCTCGTGTTGCTGATGAACAGCAACATCAGCAGCCCAGTCAACTTGGTGAGCAACGTTCTTAAAATCTGATGTACAAAGTTTATTCTTCATAGGAATGGAAGCGTTTCTCATGCATCTTCTGTGTATGAAAGTTTCAGTGAACATAAATGTTGTAATTTCAGGGAAACCCAGAAGAACACACCATATTGGAGTTCGCCCAACTCATCAAGAGTCTTGTTGGTAAGATGGTAATCCCTCCTGCTGTCTGTGTGTAGGCTTCTGACCCCTGAAATCCCTCACTCACGCTCATCTCTTGTACAATTTTCAGACCAACACAGAATAAATTATGTAGGAAATATGCATTCATGTCATGTTGAGTGTGTCACTGTATGTGGCACATAGACAAGTTCATCTGAAGGGAAAGGAAGACAGGGGGACGTTTTTACTTGGTAATAATGTGAAAACCTGAGATCAGTTTGTTCTCTGCTATTTTATTTCACCAATTAATATTTATTTTTCTAAAACTGCAGTTAAAAAAAGGGAAAAAAACACCCACACTCTGGAATCTGGAATCTCATAAAAGTTTAATGTTATTACTGTTTTGTTTTTTTTTTTGTTTCCCCGTGTGAACATGTTATTCTCTGTCCCTAAACACATTCGTATGAATCCAAACACGTATCGCGGACGTGCAGTGAGCCGAAGTCAGATCCAGTTTCTGTCGGAGGCCCAGGACGATCCCCAGAGGAGGCGACCTGACATCCGAAAAGCCAAGATGATGCTCGGCTGGGAACCCGTGGTATGTGTGCTGCACGACATGAGCTGTTCCCGTCCACACATGCAGCCTTTGGTTGTTGACATAAAAGTTGCTTTTAAGCTCATATGCTAAATCCTTGGAGGCTTTAAGCCGTGAAACTGAAACGGACATGAAACATGACTGTAGAGGAGAAACCTCTAGGGATTTCTTTCATGCTGAAATAAAAAGATCTATATGTAGTGTTTGAAAGTTTAAAAACTTTCATATCTTGCTCAAAAGTTCGTACACAATAATAATAAGTTAGTGAAGCTATATAGAGGACGTAGGGTGCATTCACGCCAGCCTTTTTTAATCCACTTTAACCAAACTCTGGTTTGCTTACCTAGAAAGTCCAGTTCATTTAGACCAAAACCTAAAATCTTAGGTCTTGGTTTTGTTGAAGTGAACTCTGATGTGGTTTAAATGCGTATGTGAATGCCAAGCAGGCCAGAGACCGCTACAAAAGCAGGAAGTGGACTATAGTGCAGGGTTTTTTGGGTCAGTGCAATCAAAACAAACATCTAGTCTAGCACCAGCGGCAGAAATGGTTTGTCATTTTTAACTAACCGTCAATCAGGACTGGATAAGTTTAAAATCCTCTAACTCCTGTCTTAAGTTTATCTGTACATCTCCATTCATAACATTCAAAGACAAATGTAAAGGCGTACTACTCTGCCATGATGTATTAATGTACCAAGAAAGCACAATGACTTTTTTTAAGATTTGCGTTTTAAGGTAGCAGAAAGTTTTTTTCTGTTGGTCATATACTCACTAGTCTCTCTTCCATCAAAAACAGACGTTGTTCATTTGCTCAAAGCCCCACTTCAAAAACCCACAACTATCTGTGTAGCTGAACCTGTCTGTAGCACATAATGTTCATGTCAGTTATTTATACTAACTGGAGTAACGATGTTTTGTTGTGAACAGGTGCCGCTGGAGGAAGGTCTGAATAAAACTATTCAGTATTTCAGCAGAGAACTGGAACACCAGGCCAACAACCAGTACATCCCCAAACCTAAAGCCGCCCGCATGAAGAAAGGAAGGCCCAGACACAACTGAGCAGCAGCGGTCTGCTCTGCCAAACACTCCTCCACCATCAGACAGGAGCTTCTCTCTGATGTACCCTGCTGAGTAGAGCACTTTTTGGGAACACTGTCCCGTTTTTGGGTCATGGAGGCGGCTTTTCTCTCTGAGCTCTCTTTAAAAGCGGATGATGCCTTGTGGTCAGAGCGGCAGCTGTGATTTGGAGAGGTCTCCCTCCCCGAAGCTTTCAAAACTGATGGACCAGCCTGAATCAAAGAGGCTACCTGCTGGAGCGGAGGATTGGAAATCCAGCCTATGTTTTGGGAGTATTTTTTTTCGTGGACTTTGTGCTGTTCTTGCTATATTTAATACACCGCCGTGAGAATCCTGGCGAGCAGCTCGGACCTCGCGGAAACGAACGGCGTTCGTCGGTCTCGTGGCGTTTCGTGTCTGGAGAGGAGCCGTCCGAGTTTGTTTCCCCACTGGACGTCTTGTTGGGTCAGTCTGCCAGACCTGCACCGCACGGCGGGTTGTGGACAAAATCCTCCAGAGCAACAGTTTACGGCGCCATAATTGTTTTTAAAGATATCGTGTTTGTGAAATTTTCATGTCACGGGTGTGCAGTATCATATCGATGTGAAGATGCTATTTTAATAAAATATTTCCAGTGATTTGCATGTGATGTTGCCACTTTAGTTCAGAAACTTCTGCTCAAAGCTTCAAAACTGATTTCTAATTAATATCAAAAGAACAGAATATGTAGTGGTAAGAAAACCTGACGGTCAAAAGAAATGTTTTGTCTGCAGTTATTTGGGATCCAAAGCTGATGTATATTTTCACACCGAGTGAACGAGCACTAACAAATTTAAACTCAATCAACTTATTTATCTCGATAAATAAAGAGCCTTTGTTTGGATACAAGAATGAACTGCAGTAATTAAACTGAATTTGAAGTGCAGCAAAACCTTTAAACACCAAACACTGAGGTAAAAAAAAACAAAAAAAAAAACAATAAAATCCAGAAGGGTTAGAAAAATTAAGGTTGGAGTGTGAAACTGTTGTCTTTGATGAGCTCCTACACTTATGATTTTTGGTTTAATTTCTTTTTATTCTTTAGAAATTGCTGTTTTTTAAAAATAAAAAATTAAACCTAGAATTATCTAATTGTGTAGTTAATACAAAAGAAATGTATCAATCTTAAATCTACTGATCTGCTAATATGTTTAATATGAAGGTAGAAAAAACAGGACATGAAACTTTTATTTTTACTGAATTAAAGCCTCGATCTAGTTTGTTTTATTAAGAAAAAAAAACAATGAAAAAATAATAGTAATTTATTTAATACAAAAGCATCATGGCTGGCCTATGATCTACCAATCATGGAAGAGATTGCTCTCTTTACAGTGACCGAATATACTAAAGAAGTTGGCTTTTAGGGGAAGTACTATGGAAAAGTTGAGTGGAAGAAAAACATCCACTTCTGAATTAGAGAAGAAAAGGATTTTTCAAGGAAGAAAAAGTCACTTAATCAGCACAGCTGGAGGTCCAGCCTGAAGTTGGAACAGCTGGTAGTGATTGGAGAAGTCACGGCTGCATTTGGCCACATCCAAAGTCAGACGAGCCATTTTGGAGCATTTCACTTTTTACTCTTAATCTCTACGGAGGTTCCAGCAGGACTTGAAACCTTCTCACTCTGACAAAAGTATCAATGTCCACTTTATTAATCATATCGTCTCTCCCTTTTTTAAATTTGATTACAATTAATTAACTTCTTGATGAGCTTCAAATGAAGATGACTTCGAGTTAAATAATAAAATCAGGAGACAAAAGACAGTACAAACCTCGTCTTTATTTCCATTAAAAGCCTGCGCTCCAAACTTGAGCCTAAACAGTTTCATTTATTGTAGGAATACAGAAACACTTGCAGGGTTTTACGGATGCAATCAAAATAAGTTGGCAGGACTCCTGTGAAAATGTTGGCAGGCATGAAAGCCATCATTTTGCTTTAGCTTCTAACACAGCTGGGAACATTTGTGTGTGTGTGTGTGTGTGTGTGTGTGTGTGTGTGGGTGGTGTTAATAGTAGTCGTAGTTGACATTTGCCCCATGCCTGTAAGAGGACCTTGGCCCGATGGGGGCGTTTTCGTCGTAGTGATGCTGTCGACCCTGGTCATGGGAGCGGGCGTGGTCCATCCAGTACTGCAGGTCGGCCTCCAGCCTCTGGCGAGAGAAAGACGCCGCAGACGCATCAGGTTCGGTGAACTCAACAACAGACAGACCAGCAACTGATAAGACGTCCACTGAGAATGACGGGAGGCAGCGCCATGATTAAAAAAAAAAAAGCTTATGAAAGACAAACTTTGAAAAGGCCAATCGATTGACAGCTTTGGCCTTTTAAGGAAGCAACAACCGATGGCATATGCACGAGGTGTAATGTTCAGTGAGTGTTGGTGAAAAGCTACTATGGCTGCATGCAACGTGCTGTCGGCCGTTGGAAACAGCCGCAGCAGCAGGGGGTTTATTTTGAGCAGTCCGCCTCCCTCCCTCCCTGCTCTTATCTCTGCTCTCTGTTCCTCGCCGTCTCCGGTGAAATCATGGTGGTCAGTGACCTGAAAGAGAGCTGAGTCTAGATCAGTGGGTAGCTTTAAACTTCTGTGTGAGGAACGGCATTCGTGTTTTCCTACAGTCAGCTTTTCATCTGTATTTATTATTTATTCCAGGATTTGTGTAGGTAGAGGTGTTTTCTCTACCTTAGATGAGGCTGGTGTTTACTCTGCTTTTTATTTACTATGTGCTTTAAGTTTCACTTTCTCTAATTCTAGGGGGGGGGTTTTAGACTCTTTAATGTCTTAAATGTCATGTTATCTTTTAAAGAAAAACAATGCCCCACTTGAAGCCTTTCTAAAGTCAGGAAGTGGATGCTATTTGATAAAGTACAAGTCACATTGGTAAAAGCTAAATTGACCATGATTTTATCCGAAAGAACTGAATCTTCTTGACCTTGCTGTGAACTCTTGACTCTCTAGTCAGTCTGGCAGTCGTATCAAATCTAAACCTTAGAGATGAGAACAGCTTTCCATCTCTGCTCATGTCTGGTAGCTGCGCCAAGAACTCGTCGGTTTTTCAACAACAACAACAACAAAAGAGTAATAAACAATAGAAAACTTACCTGTTCATCAAATCCCATTTGCATGAACTGCATAATCCACTGCTGGACGTCTGGCCTGCTGCGATCCCAGACGTTTCTCTTTGTTCTACTCAGCTTGGCCAGGAACTCTTGGGCCTTAGACGAAGGGATGGCAACCGAAGACTTGGATGGAGCGTGTTCAGCTTCTGCCGCTACATAAATTAGCGAAAGAGGAAGCAAATTAAAAGGACGTTGTTTTTTTTTATTTATTTATTTTTTTTAATGTGGATCAGTTTAATAATACTTTTTTTAAATGGTGGCGTCTGAATGTTACCATTTCTTTTCACTAAGATCTTCTGCAGGCGGCTCTCGCTGGACACGTCTGCAAAGGAGAGCCAATAGAAACGTAGGAGGTTTGAGTCATTCTGATGTGAAGTCAAGTCAACCTTCACATTCAGGAAAGTGCTTTGCTGAAGTGTTCTGAAACCTTGGACCTTTCTACTCGACCCATTCTTCGCCTGTCATGTCTCCACAATGTATCTCTGAACAACACAATACGTTAATAAAAAAGAGGGGAAGAACCTGGGGAAGCACTTACAGTATTTGCAGAAAGTGATTTATTTTGAAACCTTGACACGTTTGTCTCACCGCGGAAACAGTATAAGAACATAATTTCTGTTTCATATAAACAGGTGAGCAGACTTTTGTTTTTGATGCATTAATAATTGGGAAAATTATTATTCATTATGTTAAATCACAGTGACAGTGTGAGATTTTGGCTATGTGTTGTTTGGAGTATGTAATATTTAAAAGTATCCTGTTATATCAGGGATGTCAAACTCGTTTTCATTTTAGGCCACATCAACATTACGAATGTCCTCAAAAGGCCTGTTGCAACCGAACACGAGGATGATTGGCAGCACTAAGTCCCTCCTCCTGGATCTGATTGGTTGTTTCTGACAGAAAAACAAACAATTTCTACACATTGCAGTAGGAACACAGAAAGGAGGCAGAAGAACTTGACTTTTTCACTGATTTTTTGTCTAATACTATCAGGACATGGGTCAGTTTTAACAAGTATACATATGAACAACATATTTTATAAAATTACAGCTTTAATTGACTGTTAATCAGCTTACTCCAAATTTGATGAGAACTTAAAATTCAATATTCACGTTGGTGTAATTTGCCAGTAAACAGTCATGAAAACTGTTTTGATTTGATCAATAAAATAATAATTAATCACAAAACTATTATCTTGAAGATCCTATCTGTGTGGCCCTCGAAAAAAGCTTTGGTGGGCCTCGAGTTTGACATGTGCACTATACCGACATTTTTTAGATCTTCAAAGTTTATCACTATTGAACGATGATTTTTGATGTTTCTGTTTCTGCTAGTTTTTTTGTTTCGACAATTCAAGGGGAACTGATTATTCTTGCTTCTGTAATTAAATTTAAATAAATTCTATATTGATGGGTTAAATATTAAATGGCATATATTGCATATGGTACTCATGTAATATATATGAGGATTTGTAGGCGATATGAGGATAAATGGATAAGGAGTGGAAATATAAAAGGTTTACACTTCCACCCACTTTCTTGAATATGTAAAACACGACTTGACATTATGCTTCGAAGCTGTTGGTACTCAGAAAGTGAAAAAGAAAGGAACAATAGATGTAGGTTGCAATAAAGTGAAGCCCATCTTAAAGTATTTTTAAAGTGAACTATCCATTTTCCTTCATTTGCCGAGTGGATTAAGCCTCATTTAACAGCTCTTTAAGGTGGAAGGCGGTAGAAATCACATCCTCGGGTGAGCATTGCGAAGACAAATCAGACTTTGGACGGATGAGCGCGACGCGCTCCAAAAATACTTGCTGCTGCTAGAAAGTGACACTGATGAAGATTAGAGCACAAATTTGCATGAGCATGAGGGCACGGAGGGTGAAGGTAGCAGTGGTGAGAAGTAACGAAGTACAAGTACTTCGTTACTGTACTTAAGTACAATTTTCGTGTATCTGTATTTTTACTTAAGTAGATTTAATAATGGGTACTTTCTACTTTTACTCGACTACATTTTACAGTAAGTATCTGTACTTTGTACTTCGCTACATTTCTACAAAACCGTCGCGTTACTCGTTACATCCAAGTCGCCTTTTTGTCCATTAAAATGTGAAGTTCAGGGTCTTAAGGTGGCGCCGTAAAATCCGAGCAATAACGTGACTTAGTGTCTGTTGTCACCCATCGCCTCCCCCTTAACTCGCACGCGGAGCTCCAGACATGCGCAGTGGCTTCCTCTGAGCAGGAGAAGATGTCTGTCTGATCTCAGTAATATAATAGCGCTGCATAAATCATAAGATATGGCGACATGTAAAATAAGCAGCGCTTCGCTTTCATAGACGGTGGGGACTTAGTTCAACTTTTAGCGTCACTTGGAAGGAAAGCTTAAAGAAAGGTAAGATCTGTGGACGTGATGCTAGCAAAGCTAGCTGTACAGAGACACATATGCTGCATCTGCGATGAAAAAAGTTGTCACTCATGCGCTGAAT